TAATAATAATAATAATAATAATAATAATAATGACAACAATAATAATAATTCCGTTATTTTTCATCACATTTTCAAACAGCCACTGCAGAGGGACCAAAGAGCTACATGCGGCCCCAGAGCCACAGGTTGCAGACCCCTGACCTGGGGGTACCAGAAGCTCAAAACAAGTGTCAATAGCAACAACAAAATAAGCTGTTTGGCTGAGAAGATTTGGCAAATTTTTCATGAACCCACATGCTCAGTTCTACTGCACATCCCACAACAACGCATTCTCACTCCCAGCTCGTCATATATTGTGTCCGGTTTTGACGCGTCAGGTAACCCCCTCACATCAGTCATTGACAAGATGAGTGACAAGTGTAGAAAATGCACGACAACTAACTGTCCCTAAACTTAACTTCTATTAGCCCTAGACTTCCTGCCCCTGACCTCACTGTCTAAAATGAACAAGTAATCCTGATCCCTAATATTAACCACACACCCCAACCTAAAGACCCTACGTGGTGTGTGTCAGTAACTGACTCGAGGTTGTTACCCGACGCGACAAAACTGGGCACAGAGGGAACCTGGACACGCATCAATATGTGACGAGTTGGGAGTGAGAATGTGTTACCCACAAATGCATGTTCCTTACAAATGTGGCACAATTTAAAAGAGAATGGCTTCAACAGTATAAGATGTATTGCCAAGAAGCATTGTTACGACAAAGGAATAATCTACCAAACACTAATGTCCATAATTTTTTTGTGCTACATACGTATTTTAAAATAAATGTTTTGGCATTAAAGTGTGATTGTAATTTTGTTTGTCTCATTTAGATACAAAATATAAAAGCAGACCAAACTTCAAATGTTTTTTAAGCTCTTATAATGACCCCAAGCTGACCAAATGATTAGTTTAATAATATCCTGTATGTTAATACACAGCATACRGTGTAAACAAACAGACACTGTGGGATGTTTGGTGACTCATCCTCACATTCATCATCCAGCTGCCTCAAACCGTCACAAAATCCACTGAAAATCAAATTCAAACACTCTACTGCTCATCCCACAAATGCATGCTCCTTACAAATGTGGCACCATTTACAGGTGCTGGTCATAAAATTAGAATATCATGAAAAAGTAGATTTATTTCAGTAATTCCATTTAAAAAGTGAAACTTGTATATTATATTCATACATTACATACAAACTCCATCCATCCATCCATCCATCCATTTTCTGTA